CGGGCTTTGTTCTAACCATTAAATAAAGTTATTACCTGATTTTTGGTTAACATTCAAAGTTTTCAAGCCCTTTTCATTAGTTTTCTTTTTAAAATACCGCTCAATTCAGGTGGTGCCTATTTAGCTAGGCCTACTTTAACTTGAATTCACTGGCTTTTGCTGTCTACGCAAATTGGATCTGGCTTCTGCTATCTAGGCAAATTGGATCACTATCTAACACATTGAAAATACTATTAGGAATGACGATACTACAAGATAAAGAATACACAAAGTAGAAAATGGACACAAAATATTTACGTGGTACGGCAATTTGGGCTTACGTCCACGGAACAACGATCAATCTTCACTATATGAAAATAATGAGTACAACAAGAGTAACATTGCCAAGCTGAAGACAAGGTTTGATGGATAAAAGAAAGTATAATACACACTTTCTCTCACACTAAACTTCATTCACACAATGTGTAGTGAAACACTCTCAATCTCAAACTTGGAGTGGAACACTCTTAGAACCCTCACTTTCACTTGGTTCTTGTTTTTCTTCGTTGGTACATACCAATACATACACCTATATTGGTGAGTTTATGCCGACTAACCCATTGCCCACCGACTTTGGGCCTGCATAACAGCCACAAAATTGTAGCTTCTAGATCGTTCCATTTGCAACCAAGGAAGCTACTACTCTGTAGCTTCTTCCACCGACTTAATAGCATGCTAGAATTGTCTAGCATGCTCCAGGCACCTCACTTGCTTAGCAAAATAATTTAGAACATTCATTATGGGTTGGACCATATACCAATAGATACTACTTGTAGGACTAAATTCGCGCACCGTCGTAGAAGGTGGAGATATACAAATCCGAGTAACCTATAAGAAAAAAAAACACCAATGAGGTACCCAAAGACCGAGGGTGGGTGTGCTGGTCAAAGGCTCTTTGATGGTCAAGTTAGTGAGCAATATAAGTCTTAAGCAGTGGGCAACATAATAAGTATGAGATAATTGTGTTACCAAAAATGAACCCTAGAGGAGTGTTGTGGGATCATGATTTTCTAGGGCCGGAGTAAGGCTAATCCTACTGCAATTACTTCAGAAGTTCGATCATGGAAAATCATGGTTGCACATTCATGATTCTTAAAAACGTTAGGCGCTAGTCGAATTAATGCATGAGGCATAGTAGCTAAGCGCCTAGGCCGTCTAGCCGGACTAGGCGAATTTATAATTTTTATTAATTTAATTAAACTTATTATAACAAAACCTAGTTATACTTAAAATGGGCTATTATTATTAACCCCAATTTAAAAGTTAATAAAATTGTAACCATATAAAATGGCCCGGCCCAATCTTCCACTTCCTCTATTCCAAAACCTCGTTTACATCTCCTCCTCTCAATCTTCGAGAAAGAGATGTTGCGTCTTCTACTCTTTCTCAAAATCAGTCTTTCTTCCATTGTCAGAGCTCTTATCACCTCCACAAGCTACTCTCACCGTCAGAGCTCCCATCTCAACTTGTGAACAAATTTGAGGTGGTTATTCCAACGACCAAGTGGGGTTTGTATGTATCGCCGAGATTTCCATTACGTTCTCACTTTTCTTGTCAGATTGCAGCGAAATGGAGAAATGCCGAGGCTCCGACGAGGTTGCCTAAACTGCCGCCTACCACCGCCTAGATAACACCCAGGGCAGCCGACTAACTTATGCTCGATTTTATAAATTCTTTGGCATAAATCCTAGCAGCACACCACCGCCTAGCACCTAGGCCAATTTTTAGAACACTATGCATAATTGCCCCTAACTATGCATTTGAAAGGCAAAGTTACTTCTTCTGGTGGCACTGTTACTCCATCTATTATCAAACTATAGGGATAAAGATACTTAAAGGAAATGAGTGTCTCTACTGTGCATGTCATTTAGTTGTCTGAATGCCGAACTTTGATGTGTCCCTAATGGTAACCAATTATAGAACACCTTACTTCGCTGGAAAGCTAATAAAGTGATATCTTTTGGTGATAGTTAGTATTTTTTTTCTCAGAGGTGAGGAAAAGGTCTCGCATAGAGCGAAGTTTCACGTAAAGCGTTTGAGTTGTTTGTTGAGTTTAAGAGACTTTGTTTGTTGCACAACCACTGATATTTATAAGGGTAGATTTTATGATGACCAAACTTGCTGAGGTAGAGTCCTGATAGGATTATGCCTCCTTGGTACCCACATGGATATTCTTGATGTTATCTCTACAATCCCCTCTTTCATCGAAACTTTACTTTGTAGGTCTCGGCTTCTTTAACTTGAATTAGAATTCTGAACCTAGTCCTTTTATGCACTTAATGCATTCTCATCTGATCAGTCATAGGCTTTGATTCCTGGAATAAATCATATCTTATCAAAACCCTATCATGATCCTTAACAACTTTTACTTATCTAGGACTCTATAGAGCCATGCCTAAGTTTGACCATTAGGACTCAACTGAATCCTCCATTTTTGGGCAAAGAAAGCCACTTGGCTTGAAGGATCACCATTGAGCCGAGACTCACGACCGTCCATCTTGATTTATCTCTTCTCGGCCCAAATCAAATATTTCAAGCCTAAACAACACATATCAAATCTCATCAATCGAGTCACTTTCCCAAAAATACTACGAATTTCTACGTTGTTGAAGGAAATCAAATGTCCACTACTACTCTATCTTTATTGCATGTTTACATGGTGTAGCTTATAGAACAAGACTCAATATAAATATAATTTATTTATTTTTTCTAAAGAGATCATAAGCTAAGAGTTTCTCTCATAAAATAATCATAGAATTCCATATGGATCTCTATATATTATAGTGATGATAAAAATGACATGAGTTTCACAGCGTTATCATTTTTAGTATTGGTTTGGTAGTGATGTGTTTTAAAAAAAAAGGGTATAAAAAAAGTCGGGAGCTTTCAGGTGTTTGGTAAACATTAAACTTCAGCTTTTTTTCACACGTGTGGGTGAAAAACAAGCCAAATGTTCAAAGTAGCAAAAGCTAGCTTTGAAAAACTGGCTTTTTTTGCTTTCACAGCTTTTGCGCAAACCTAATTTGTAAGAGGCGCTAAGCTCCCCCCTCCCTTTAAAGAAACTTTCAAACACCCAAAATGACCTTAAACAATTAAATAATTACACATAATACCAACTGGAAAACGTTGCCGACTTCAATTGGGAGGTCGTCTTCGTTGATCCCGCCACAACGCCGTTCACTACCAGCTTCAACAATCACCATTATTGACCTTGAATTCCATACCTTAGGATGTTGATTTTGCCTGTCCTTCCTCCCATCTCTTATCTGTCATCTCTCACTCCCATGTTGGCAAAATCATGCTGAGAAATACCACCATCTTTTCTGGCGAGGACCAGATTCGGTTTTGGCATCGCAGATTTGCCCAGATTTCCCAGATTTCACTGCTTACATGTGACTGATCTTCGTATTTTGCAAATTAGGAGAGCCCAGATTGCCCAGACGGACACCAAAACTCAATTATTCTAAATACCCAAAATTAAATACAGGAAACTACTTCGTATGATCAAATTCACACTATATAGTTTCAAAAAGAAAAAATGATTAGTCCCGGAAGAAGAAAGAAACCAGCTTCCTAGAGCGTTGGCCTTACCCGATGTATATAATGAACTCCTCGAACAGCTAGACCATGTATGTATTGCAAATCAGATGACAGGTGAGAGAGATTGAGGAATGGAGCAGAAAATAAAAAAGAAGAAGACGGAGCAAAAAAAATAAAAATTAAGAAAATTGGGGTTGTGGGGGAAACATCTAAAGATATATTTTTGGTTTTTGGAAAGTTTGGTTCGGTAGTGGGAGAGACTACTCAATGCGGAAGGAGAAAATTAAATTAATGGCACATCTAGTATTATACCGTTTTTGGTCATTTCACACAGTTAGCTGTTTTACATAAAAGTTTACCAAACACTATAATATTGATTTTTTTTTCCATAAACACTTTTACAAAAAAGTTTACCGAACACTCTGTTGTTTTATTTCACAACTGCTTATTCTCACAGCACAACAGAAGCAATTTTTTTGTTTTTCAAAGGACAACAATACCAAACCAGCCCTTAATAACTTGGATTCTAAAGTATAACTTTATACAAATGGTGGATTGTTGTGGTAGTTAAGGTCGTCTTCTTTAAGAGACTATGTCCGGGTTCAACCCTTTCATTTTTTTCTTATTTTAAATTAAAATATTAATATCGCGTGTAAAAAAAATAAAAAATAAAAAATAAAAAAAACAACTATATATTTGTATTCTCTATCATGGTAGAATTTTAAACAGCCTAAAATGTTCGTGTGCTTCCACATGTGTCTGTCCGGCCAAATCAAAAGTCTATGATGTGAAAGATGGCGTCGTTTTCTTGAGAATTCAACCACTATGCATAGTCCCTTCAAAATAAACATTTTGGACGGCAACCGGCGATGTTCCTTATGTACATTTAAGAAAATTTCAACGCAAAATTTTGTTTGATCTTTATTTAGTAACACATTTCATCTTTTTGTCCTGTTATTTTGTCAAATACTTGCATTACTTTAATTCTGGGCTCTGCTCTAAGCACCTTGAGTTGGAGTAGATAGAGAGCAATAGAAAATGAAAAGGTCCGACTGAAAGTTACAAAGTCATTTTCCTCGATCGAAAGCATAATTAAGTTAATCACCCATGACCAATTCTTATTGAATAAAACGCAGCTATCATCTTATAGATAACTCAGTAAACCAGAAAGCCGACCATCAATCATCACAACAATGAATTTTAAAATCTGCACCCACATTCCCAGCCAAATATACAGACAAAACACTAAAATCCTGGATGAATCGTCACGGTACGGTTACGTGTCCCCGTCTGATGTAGCTAATTAATGTTGATTTTAGTCCATAGCAATGTTAGAGTAATCATAATTTCGAAATATTAGCCGATAACATTTGACCGTAACAAGACATCAATAATGCTATGATAGGATGAAGATATGACTATAGAACTATAGTAATTTGCAGTTGGAGTATGCACACGTAATTTGGTGTAATATATTGTGTAGTTTAGAATTTGAGTAAGAACAATGTAAGATTTTTTCTATTCAAATTCCGTCTCGCGATACATCAATTTAAGCATCAGTTAACCTTTTTTTTTTTTTTTTTTTTTTTTAAGAACAATATATATATTTTCACTAAGAGTGACATTTGGGGTTAATCCATAATAATTCGGTATCTTATTTATTTATTTATTTTTTTTAAAAAAGAGGGACAACTGGTGGTAAGTCACGGTTATCCACCTCTTTTGGGGGCTGAGAAGACTCACAGAGACATTTCAGCCTCCTCATGGCCATAAGTTTGGCTTCTACACTAGCAGCGGGTTTTTAACTCGTCATTCGCATGAGTTAAATCTAAAATCTTTCAACTAAATAAGAAGGTCACTAGGCCATAATGCCAAGTGTGTACACACATATATTGTGGTAAAGAAAATATGATAAAAAATGTTCTTCAATAATTTGTGTGATACATTATTTGAGGAAAAAGAGCTGAGAAGAGTATCATTTTGATGGAATTGACTTGGTTGATTGAAAAACAAGTCTTGAATCAGGACAAGCATATAGTTGAACTCAGCCTAGGCCTCTCCGACTAAATAAGCATGCCTCCCCCTTCTTGCTTTTCTTTCTGAATGCAGACCCTTGAACAATGGCTCTCTTCAAACAAATTTCACACCTCCAAACACAAACTTTTCCCTATCTTCTCTTCCACTTCTTTCTCTTACTCTTACTACTCGGAAATGTCAACTCGTTCTCCTTCAACATCTCCAGTTTTGATACAAACACAAAGGATATCACCTACCAAGGTGATGCTTTCCCATCAAGAGGAGTCATTCAGCTGACAAAGAATCAAGTTGATGGTCCGCTAACTGAAAGCGCTGGTCGCGCCTCGTTTGCTCAACCAGTGCATCTTTATGATGCCAGCACGGGGAGGCTCACCGACTTCACAACCCATTTCACCTTTGTCATGAAAGCCTTGGATGATACACGCTATGGTGATGGCATCTCTTTCTTCCTTGCACCACTGGATTCAAAAATCCCGGAAAATTCAACAGGGGGATACCTTGGTCTATTTAGCTCCAATTCCAACTTCAACTCAACCAAGAATCAAATTGTTGCCGTGGAGTTTGACAGTTTTAAAAACAGTTGGGATCCAAATCCTGATCATGTAGGAATCAATGTCAACTCCGTTGTTTCAGTAGCCAACATTTCGTGGAAAACTACCATAAAAAATGGATCGGTAGCAAATGCATGGGTAAGTTATAACTCCACCTCCCAAAATTTAAGTGTTTTTCTAACATATTCTAAGAATCCAGAGTTCAGCGCTGGAGATTGTAGTGTTTCGCACATAATTGATTTGAGGAAGGTGTTGCCAGAGCTGGTAAGTGTCGGTTTCTCTGCTGCCACGGGTGAATGGGTGGAAATACACAACATTCTGTCTTGGTCATTTAGTTCAACCCTGGAGATCAGTAGTAATAATGAAGCAGAAAGAAAAATAAGAATTGGGGTTGGTTTAGGGGCGGGTTTCGGTTTTTTGAGTTGTGGATTAGGTCTCTTTTGGTTCATCTCTTGGAGAAAAAGGGCTAAGAAGATAAATGAGGCATATGATATATCTATGGATGATGAATTTGACAAGGGAACTGGGCCGCGGAGGTTCACTTACCGTGAATTAAATCGCGCAACAAACAACTTCGCTGAGGGAGGCAAGCTTGGAGAGGGAGGATTTGGAGGAGTCTACAAGGGTTTGCTAACTGAGTCAAACACAGAAGTGGCTGTGAAGAGAGTATCTAGAGGATCAAAGCAAGGGAAAAAGGAGTACATAGCGGAAGTGAGGATCATCAGTCGGTTAAGGCACAGAAACTTGGTGCAGCTCATCGGTTGGTGTCATGAACAAGGTGAGTTCCTTCTGGTCTATGAAATTATGCCGAATGGAAGCCTTGATTCCCATCTGTTTGGAATGAAGCTCCATCTAACTTGGACAGTAAGGCACAAAATAGCCCTTGGCTTAGCATCGGCAATTCTGTATCTTCACGAGGAGTGGGAACAATGTGTTGTGCATAGAGATATAAAGTCAAGCAATGTGATGTTGGATTCCAATTTCAATGCCAAGCTTGGAGATTTTGGGCTTGCAAGGCTTGTAGACCATGGCTTGGGGTCACAAACAACTGTATTAGCAGGCACCATGGGGTATTTAGCCCCAGAATGTGTGACAGATGGAAGGGCTAGTAAAGAATCCGATGTCTACAGTTTCGGGGTAGTTGCCCTAGAAATTAGCTGTGGAAGAAGGCCCGTCGAAGCAAAGGCAGAACCAAGCAGGGTAAGGCTGGTGGAGTGGGTTTGGGATTTGTATGGAAAAGACCAAATACTTGAAGCTGTTGATGAAAGATTGAATAAGGAATTTAATGAGCAGCAAATTGAGTGCTTGATGACGGTAGGGTTATGGTGTTGCCATCCTGATCCTACCGTTAGGCCTTCTATTAGGCAAGTGATTAATGTTCTCAATTTCGAAGCCCCCATGCCAAGCCTGCCTTCGAAGTTGCCAGTGCCAATGTACTTTGCACCTGCATTGAGTATGTGTAGGTTCTCCTATACGTCTAACCTCACCGGATCATCAGTAAAAGATCGAACTCAGTGTTCGTGTAGCAGTTGCACTACCCATAATTCATCACAGTCAGCCGGCTCTTCGAAAGCTCTACTGAATTCGCGCACAGCCGCTGTGTAGCGATGTGCCTCTATTTCTCTTTTTTTTTTCTTTTTACTTTTTGTTTGATTTCTTTGTTGTCCATGGTTAAGAGCAGGAATTCTTGTGTTTTCTATTGTTTTCGTTTATAGACAGAGTTGGCTTACTTAAATATTTGGTAAATTATTTTTATGTTGTTAATTAAATAAAGTTGTACGAACGGCTGATCATATAGTTTAGATCAATTTGAGCTTTGAACTTGTATTAATATATCACGTAATTTATGATAATTTTCTACTGAGTTATTTTACACTATGTTATGGAGATCTTTCTTGAGAGTATAACAAGAACTACGTTCTACTAATATACTTGTCCTTTCTGGACAAAAAATAAGCTAATATTTTTTTTCCCAGGATAGTGGTGTAATCGTGTCGCGCAAGTCCTTCATATTTGAAGCATCTCGTGTTTTTTCTGATTTGCTTAAGCACTACCTGTTATTTGGTGTACTGCGAGATTGGAATATTGTCCGATTAATAGTTTTGCTTTTTGGATTACAGTACTCTAAACTAGTCTAAAAGAAAATCAAACTCAAGTGTAATTAAGGAGCAACGAACACTATCTTGACCTATTCACCTGATCATATATGCTTGAATTTAATAGAATATGGTCGAAGCATTGTAAACCATCACCCAACTTTATTGCCCCGGTCCAGTTTCCAGACGAAGTCCTCATGTTGTTTCAATCGAACCATTCGCTCTGTTCCTTCCTTTGCCTTGATTCTGTCAGAAACATTCTAAAATATTGCCAAATGTTGCATTAATTTAAGCTGGCATCATTTGCAATAGGAGCTCAACCTTGGTGGTCAAATTATACAAACTATACATATTTTATATTTTTGGTAATTTAATTTGGACCACCACCATGAAGCATTGTTGTACTAACACTTGTACCTCTCCAGATTATAACTGAATTAAATCCCAGTGTGAGATATCTTGGCGGGTAACATTGTTTGACGACTTTGGCCTGCAGATGTTTGAATTACGACTTTTGCCTGCAGATATGTCGATTCCATATGACCGCTGTAGAATGTCCAAAGACAGCATACGTGAGTTACAAGTTTGGTCTCCTTTCGTTGGATGGAACAAGAAAAGCGCGCAAAATTAGTGGCCTAATCCTTGGAGTGTAGTGAGTGATGCCTAGATAGCAAAAAATTACCATGAAAAATTGAACCCAAGCAACTTTATCATCAAATTCTGAAAGTGCATTATCGTTTGATCATTTTCCATCCCAAGTTGATGTTCCAAGCGTAGTCTGATATCCTTTCTCTGCATCTGTCCCGGTTGGAGAAACATTTAAATCTAGCACACTCATATCAGATTGGCATTTGTAGTCTGCAACAGCGGCAAATAATCCACTCTAAGGAAAGAACTTGCAAAAGCAAACCAAAATGGTTGAATCGAGCTTTGAATATCAACGAATTTAAAGCGGTGTCAGTATAACTAATGGTATTATATAGACTGAGACACATCAAGATAGTGATACAAAGTTGAAAATTTGATCAAGGGGTCTGTGAGGAAATCCAGTCATGAGCCGTTAAAATGCTTATAAGACGATGAGTGGTAGCACTCTCCAACCAAGATTCTAGGCATACGAGACAACAATATATAGGCATTAATTGACATTTGTATGGTACAGTGATCCAAAAATCAAACTCTTTCCCCCATAACCACGTATGCTAGATGCAATGTTTTAAAAGGCGAAGGCATGAGCTTGTTTGATGGATAGTTCCGCCTAGGCGAAAGGCTTGAGGTGTGAGATGAAGCCTCATGAGACTTAATTTTTATACTATATATATTTTATATTATATATATGTGTATATCATAATACTTTGTAAAACAAATATTAATTGTCATTCAAAAGTGCACAAATTATAAATAAGTATAACTCACATGACCAAGTTTAATCAAGCAATCAAATTAATCAATTTTCAAGCATCTACTTCTAAATGCCTATATATATATATATATATATATATATATATAGTTACGGTTGTTACCAAAGAAAATTGGGTTAAGGAAGACAAAACTTTGGTTTCCTCTAGTCATCCTCCCAAAGAAACTATTTTAATTTCCGCTGGTAATACTAACATTCCCGCAACCCCTTTCAAAATTCCAAAAGAGGATTCTGGTTTTAAACCTGTCATCGAGCAGAATAATTTTACAAACCAAAGTCTTCACACTATTGGAAAACAGTTAGATAAAATTGAAACAAAAATTGACAAATTGTCTCAACCAAAATCTTCTTAAAAAGAAAAACCTTTAGTAAATTTTACTGATACTTCTTCAAGTTCCACTGCTTTAAAATCTATGACTACTTTACAAAAAATTGATCATATGCTCACTGAGCTCAAAAAAGAAAAAGTTGTTAATGTTTTGCAAAACAATGATGTTTTCATCGAAGAAGACAACACATCTGATCCAGATTCTTCTCAGGACACGGAAACTAGTTCTGCTATTCAACATATTGAAAATGTTTTTCAAAACATTGATCTTCAGCCAACTTTTGATTTAAAACGCATTCATACTCATCCTGTCAACCCTACTTCTCTTACAAAAAATTGGTATCCCAGGCCAACTCCCCCTGATCTTCAGTTTGAAGAAAGAAATATCCAAAATCAATTTTCAGTCTCTGCTGACAAACTCTATGAATGGAATATAGATGGATTGTTAGAACAAGAACTTTTGAACAAACTTCAACATATGTCCATGGTTGCTAATAGCTACATTTCAAATCACAATTTTACACAAACACAAATCGTTGATCTTCTCGTCACTGGTTTCACTGGAATGCTTCATTCTTGGTGGGAGAAGCACTTAACTTCTCAGTCCAGAGATGAAATACGTTTTGCGGTCAAAAAAGATGAGGAAGGATTTCCCATCTTTGATGAAACGATAGGACAAGGAATACCCGACGGAGTTAGTGCTTAATAAGCAAGAAGAACAAGAAGAGTTTTTAATGGAATTAATTAGTAAAGTCGATGACCCTGATTTAAAATCTTTTTATTTGAAAAAACTCAAAAATTTGATTTCTTCTCATGAACCTGGCACTAGTCAAACTTCTTCTCAAAAGATTTCTCTCAGCACCACTATGGAACGGTTTAATAAACCAAAAAAGGATTTAACCATCAAGGATTTACAAAAAGAAATTAATCAAATTAAATCAGAAATTAAGTTTTTAAAATCCGAAAATACCGAAATTCGTTCACAACTCAGTAGAGCACGCACACAAGCACTTGTAGAAGAACAAGGCAATTCTTCTTCACATTCTGATTCCGATGCCCAATCAAGCAAATCCTTTTCTTCAAAAGATCTTGTTTTAAGTCTTTTAGACAAAATTAGAATTAAAAAATGGTATTCTAAAATCAAAATAATAATTGACGATTTTGATAGGAGCATATTTAGGCGACTTACTTAGCTTGTTTTCGTGCATCTATGTTGGTAATTCATAGTTATTTTAGTCCTTTATGCTTCTTTTGTGTGCTTTCAGGTTCTAAGGGCTTAGGGAGCAAGAAAGTGCATTTTGAGGCTATTTGGGGCACTTTTGGGCATGGATTGGATAGCTTAATCATGGAGCCAAGAGGATGGACGAAATTGAAGCCTTGTATGCTCTTTGGGGACATCAAACAAAGGGCCTAGCCCAATCAAACAAATCCTTTGAGCCATGGAAAACCTCTAGCCCAATCAAACATATTATGCCATGCAAACCAACCTATTTTAGGCCCATTCTATGTACTTAAACCCTAGCCCTTTAAACTAGTCCATTTATCACTTATCACTTCCATTCACTTATCACTCACCACATATCATTCATTTATCACCACATATCATTCATTTATCACTTATCAAACCTTTCACTTATCACTTCCATTCACTTATCACTTATCATTTCCATTCACTTATCACTCACCACATATCATTCATTTATCACTTATCATACTCATAATCATCTACACATTTCAAACATATGCATTTCATCTCACATGCACACCCACCTCTTTCCAAACTAATTCACATGCATACCTATTCTTTAAATCAACACATGCATTCACACACATGCACATCATTCACTCACATTTCCACCATTCATTCTTTATTCCACAAACAAGTCACATGCATTTCCACCTTCCTACTTCATCATTTCACCACATTCTCCCTCTTTAACTCATTTCATTATTCATTCACTTTGCATTCATTCAATTCCACCCCACATGCACCCTTTATTCTTCATCATTGCAACCATGGCACATTTACACCAACAAAACAACTCCCATGCCATGGCCTACTCATATTCCCATTTCCTTTCCAACAAGTCACATGCATTTCCACCTTCCTACTTCATCATTTCACCACATTTTCCCTTTTATTTCCACATGCAATTCTTCATCATTGCAACCACAAACACCTTAAACAAATAGCCATATACATCTCCACTCCTCCTATAAATACCCTTGCATTCATTCATTCAAACATCATCTCATTTCATACACAACACACCACAAACACTTCCATCTTCTCCCTAGCCGTGAGTTTTTCTTCCATTTTTCCTCCATTTCTTCCATTTCCATGATCCCCCAATCCATTCAACACACCTACAACATCCCTTAGTTCTTGTGCCACAATAAAGAGGAAGATAAGAGGGCCTAAACGTTCATACAATTCACGTTTGAGTTGTTGGAATGTTTACGCGTTTCTTTGATTTTAAAGTTTAAATTCAATTCTCTTTGTTTTGTAATATGAGGAATGGAAGATAAGAGGGCCTAAACGTTCATACAATTCACGTTTGAGTTGTTGGAATGTTTAGGTGTTTCTTTGATTTCAAAGTTATGAGGAACTAAACCCTTTTTAGCTAGGGGTGATTTCAATACCATGATTATTTATGTAATATGAATTGATGAATTCCGGTTATGAACTCTTGATTCGTGAATGCAATTGGCTTAACTATTTGATGATTAACTTATTTGTGTTTGTTGATTGAGGGTCGACACTTAATTAGCATGCATGAATATGTGGCTAAAGTTTAAGAAGGTTTCACATAATCGTTACTAACTTATACTTGAAAGTAGTGAAGGTCGCTTGTCACGATCGCGTTAAGTTTAATTCTTAGCATGAGTAACATGATGTCATAGTTGCAAGTGCTTTGTCAATGCTTATGGTTTTCATTATTCTTAATGATCTTCGATTGTATCTCTATTATGATGACATGTAGGGA